CTATGTCAACAAAGAATAGAAATTAAATACGAAGAGCGATGCCATTAATGTTTGTTTAGTAACGTTAGCCCAGTGGTCTCTATAAATGGCGTCTGTGGTTAGCGGTTGGATAGAGAAATTAATTGTTAAACCGGGTGCCCATTGCGGATGGGGTCGGGTCGGGTCCGAGTCGGTCCGAGTCGGGTCGAGTCGGGTCGAGTCGATCGCCCGACTCATCGCCTGAAAACAAACGCGTTAGTTTTTGAGGCGACGAGTCGGGCGCGATCGGATTGTGCCCCGATAGCCGTTTTGCGCCTTCAATCTGGCTAGCGAACCGACCCGACCCGATTGTTTTATTTTTTGTTTTAGTAAGCGTTTTACGGCACTTGCAACACAATAAGGTCATAGAAGTGCCGAAGATTAGAGGTGTTACAAGAGAGTAACAAACACAAAAAAGGAGAAGGGGAGATAGAGACGATAGATTATTTTTTACAGGAAAGAAGGAGCAAACCCCACCAAAGCACCCGCCAACCAACCACCCACTCCCGACCCGACCCGACTCGATCCTCCAATGGATACCCCCCTACAACTGGGCAAATTGGAACAATAAATTGTTTGGTCAATAAATTTCCTAAAGAGAAAAAACCCACGCAACTTGTGGGAGACAAGAACACATGACACAGCGGCGCGTATAATTGTGCCACAACGCGGTGGAATCAGGCGCTCGTCAATTTTTGAGCATGTCGGGTTACTGGTATCACCGTAAAGCCTGTTCATTTATCTTGCTTTTGACGGGAAAAAAATACCCATCTATCTTGAGCGAGCAGAAGTGAAGATATTTGTGATTGAAAGAGGTAAGTTCACTTGGTTTCAGAGGTAAAAATAGCGAGAAAATGGCCGCTTAACCTTGGTAACTTCAATAGCTAAAGAGTCCTTGAAAACTGAAAAATTATATATTTTGAACTTTTAATTAACGTTTTTCAATACAAAATATAATTCGAATGAAAATGTGTTTTTATTTGGATATAAAAGGGTAGAACAAAAAACACATTAAAAAATTGATTAAAATTACGAAACTGATGAGAAAATGCCGGTTTCTCAAACTTTGTTATTTTGACGAGCACCTGATTTCACCACGATGCCTTGCAATTGTAACTGACGCCTGGGTGTTTGAGCTGTGAACGGGAACCGCAACATCATCCCTGGGGATTGTCGTTTTCGCGCCAATTTTGTGTCACCTGATGAAAGTTTGATGTAGTTAGAGGACAGTTGGAAAACGGGTTGGGGTGGGGAAGTTTTTGTTTTCTAAATTAATCTAAATTAATTCTTTTTTCTCAGAGGGTTAGTGAGGGGGGG